CCTCCTTTGATTTGATTGGCCATCTCAAACATTTTGAAATGCAAAAAGACCAACACAGTTATTTCTATTCCCCCAAAATATAATGTAATTTAATAAATTGCAATGTTTGACCAGTGTTGGGGAAAGTTACTTTTAAAAGTAATGCATTACAATATTGCGTTACTCCATAAAAAAGTAACTAATTACGTTACTTAGTTACTTTTTATGGAAAGTAATGTGTTACGTTACTTCTGCGTTACTTTTTAAATCTGGACAGGGCTTGCTTGTTTGTTTTTAAAATAAAAAAGTTCTATTTTTGGCAAATATAAAAGTCTTTTCACACCAAAAGTGAAATGAATAAGCCTCAGGCTAAAGGGAAAGTAAATTACGTCCGTACAGTAGAATGCAGAAGAAGAAATTTCAACACGTCAGCAATAAAAAAAGACATGCAAATGTTTGTCTAGAGTAATTTTTGCTGATTAGTACGGTTAATCGAAGGTCAGAAGCAAAGACATTGGTTAATAGAATGGGATTAAATACATAAAGCATATTTGTGTTGTTTAACATTTAATTATTGCAGATTTGCGATTACGTAACTCACGTTACTTGTAATGAGTTACCCCCAACACTGGTTTTGACCACAAGCGGTGTTCGTCAGACACAAACGGTCACAACTGATAATTAATTCATTACATTTATATAGCGCTTTTCTAGGCACTCAAAATTGAGGTAGCAGACAAGATGCAGAATTCCAGCTTAAATTAATGCAAATAAGAATCGAAATGAGTGGAAATTCATTGACATTGTTTTTAGGGTGGGTGGACGAACGGACAGGCAGATAGATAGATGTAACATTTATAAGTGCAGAATGTTAAAGCTCTTGTACCAATTCAAATGAGACCATGCATAATCTAAAGTTGTGTTTTTACCACTTTGAGACCTACCAATGGGAGCAGTAGATGGTCTTCTTGACAGGCATGCAACTTCAACGGTACAAGCGTGGGACCTGAGGCACTTTTTGTAGCTTTTGTTTATCTCTGAGTGGGGCAAAATATATATAGAGCTCAAGGTGCACAAGCTGTTTTGAGAACATTCGAGAGGTTCAAGGGGCTTATGAAACCACAGGTCCAGTAACCAGCTGGGAGCCATGGACAGTTTAATCCCAGCCAAAGAAGGCAGAGCGTGATCATGTTTTCTGGGGATACCTTTCAGGAGACCCCATCAAGTCCCTCACAGAGAGGTTTAGCTTCATCTCTAAAACAACAGAGAACACTCCTCCTCTTTCTCTCTCACCTTCCCTGTGGCATAACCCTCTTTACACAGGGAACAGCACTTTGCTTGTTCTTCTAGCATTCTTAGCACAAACATGTTAAATAAGTTATCAACCCGAGTGATGCAGGGCACCTATGACAGACTTCTATGCCAAGCTCCTCAGAGTCCCATAAATAAATAAGAGCAGAGCTGAGGATGCCGGGAAGAGTGTTCGGCACTCAAAGCTGTCAGTTAACAATCCATCTTTAAATCTTGTTGTGAACCATTCCCAGGTTAAAAGCAAAAATAAACATCCTGCCTCATGACTCCTCAACCCTTTTAGTACAACACTCCACAAATGATGCTGCGGTTTACAATGTTCTGCATGATATTGAGAAAAAGTATCACAAACAAACTCTGTGGTTCAGAGAGGAAAAGAAAGCGCATAAAAGCATTTGCTTCTTGAAATCAATAAGTGAATGAGAAAATCAAGTACACAGCGGGCATCAAGAAATTATTGATAAACTGTGTGGGCTGGATGCAGTCCTTGAAAGTCTCACCAAGGACACGCTCTAAACTATAAAGCTAAAATAAATTATTTCAGTCCACACTGGATCCAAGCTGTGGATCAAAAAAGGCTTTTAAAAAAGGAATGGGAATCATAAGGAATCCAAATCTTGTAGTATTTTTTTAGGTAAAAATAATAATAAAAAAGGAATATACTTAATAATTCATTACATTTATATAGCGCTTTTCTAGGCACTCAAAGCGCTTTACATTGTCAGGGCAGGGGGTATCTCCTCACCACCCACCAGTGTGCAGCATCCACCTGGATGATGCGACGGCAGCCATAGTGCGCCAGAACGCCCACCACACACCAGCTTATTGGTGGAGAGGAGACAGAGTGATGAAGCCAATCAGTAGATAAGGTCGAGGTCAATCAATAAATTAACCAAACATCCTATAAAGTGAATAAACGAATGAAATCCAAGTATACATGAAGCAAATAAGGCAAACATACAAATAAAAAAAATAAAAATAAATGCATACTGTCATATAGACCAATGGACTACTTGCACTGAGCCTCGTGACGCACTTCCGTTTTGAAATAATACGGCTCAGTTATTTCCGGTTATGAATATTTCCAATGTGCCGTAATCATCTAGTTGACTTAAATGTCTATTAAAATGAGAGTTTGCGGGATGATTTAAAAATCCAGACATTTTCAGAGACAGGAGAAGAGATATTCTGATGATTACTGTGTGCAGAATTTTCCAAACTCAACGGAACGTTAGGTTTTAATCCAACATAAGCCGATCTGATAAAGCAGTGGCTGGTAAACATACGTGACTGTTTCACCACAGCAGGGCTCTCAAGTCTCACGCATTCACTGTGAGACAGACGCATTTCAGCCAGTTCACATGCTCACACGCCACACCTTGTATTTCTCACGCTGAGAAGTAAGGGACAACTTGTCCTGCTATATACAATTAATGGACAAGGCACAGGCATACGGAGGGAAGTTCTCTGCCGAGCTCATAGCTGTCTCGAGTTATACAGAGTTAAATGCCACCTACCAGCCAATATCAGAAATTAGAGATTGTGGCCCAATGGCGGCAGTTTTGGCAGCTGGACTCGGGCCAGTGTATTTGGGCCGATTCTGGGGCGTCATTCATCCCATGTCCATGCCAACTCTGGCAACCGCAGCCGGGCCGAGTTATTTCATCTGGCCTGCCGGATCTGGGCCATTATCGAGCCAAACCGTTTTGGCTACCTGGGACAGAGATATCGCCAGTGTCTGACCGCAGTAAAGATAGTTTGCAGTTTGATATTCAGATTTCTTTTGGCTATAAATACACAGTGCGCTGTCATAGACACGAAAATAAAACCGAATGTCATTCTCCATGATTTGTGAATACAGGTGACGCTGTGCTCCTGGCCGAAATCAGTTTTTTTTTTCTTCGTTGCAACTCTTAATTTTATAATGCCTATAGCTCCAAAAGTTGGCCACTTAGAAGATTGAAACCTGTGTCATTTTCACCAGCTTGATTTGTGAATTTTTTCACAGCAAAGCTCTTGTCCGTAAACCCCTTGGTAAGTCCGCTAGTAAGGAATGTGAAAGAAAGGCGTTCTTTATGTTTACCGTCTATTACCAATAAACACGCAGACTGCTGGAATACAAAAACATTGTTTTTAGGTCAAACTCGATTTGTGAAAACTTTCCCAAACGCAGTTTATCGTGTGTCAGTGTTTCTCTTTGCACTGCTCTCTTTTTCTTCTATCATAATGTCATACGTTGCTGTTCCAGTGAATAACGGTTTTCCAAGCCATTAAATAAATCATACACTGCTCTAATAGACTATTGTGATTTGTGTAATCTTTCACAATATAAAGGTTGTTGTTGTACCTTTCCTTGAGTCCTTTGGCTTCTATTTTCTGATTTGCTAAAAGGTTTCACAGTATGGTTTTTGTCATTTAACCCTTCCCTGAGCCCTTAACTTAACTATTCTGATTTGTGAAAACTTTCACAGTTAAGTACGGGTCAGCTGAACAAACTGTATTGTGAAAACTTTCGCTGTCGTTTAGACAGCAATGTGCCGTGTAAAACATGAAGATAAATATAAACAATAACAAATAGGTCTATAACCTACTTGAACCAGTTTCATAAATTACAAAATACTTTTCACTAGTTTGCAGTTCTTTGTTAATTTCTCTAAATAATGACCACATTAAAATAACGTTGAATGATCTATTAAAAAAAATTACCTTTAAAAGTAATCCAGACCTTCATATAGCTCATAAAAGCCTTCAAATAAACAGAAACATTGATTACCACTCATTAGGCTACACTGAAAGATAAGAAAAAAATAATAAACACTGCAAATAATTAGATTTTTTAAGAATAACCAGTGTACATTTAATACATTTTATATAATATATAATAAATATAACACTAATGTAATCTACATAAAATATATCTACAGTAAATTTAGTAACAGTATGTAAAATATATAAAAAATAAATACATAAAAATTCTTCAAAAAGGTTCATTTTGATTTCTGAAACTTTACTGTCTCCCACAAATAAGTACACTAGCACCTATGTGTGTCAACTGAGCTCACATCATGATGACATTGATGCAGGGACGTTCCCTCCAAGGAGGCAATGGAGGTGGTGCCCCCCTTTAAAAAAAATGGATGAGAAAATAATCCACAGTACAAAAATAAATCAAAGCAAACATTAAAGGGGTCATATGATGCTGCTAAAAAGAACATTATTTTGTGTATTTGGTGTAATGAAATGTGTTTATGCGGTTGTTACGCTTTCTTTCTTTGCGTGAACATTTGGGTGGTGTTATGCAAATCTTCCCACATCGTGACGTAGACATGTGGGGGCGTGTTAGAACGAGCCGTTTTAGGTAGGCGTGGCTGACTCTCTCTTTGGATTTGAGACTTTAGTCTTTGCAACTTTACAGATCTTCTTTATGCACCAAGAGCTTGTAACACTCCAAAGAGTGTGCAATTTAAAATCGCATCATATGACCCCTTTAAGAAATATGGAATTTAAGAGTGTATAAATCACTAATTTTTTCTAAAGTGACACTATATTCAACAGTGACACCAGCATTCTGCATCTGCAAATCAAACAAAACATAACTCACCCACCATCTGAACTCCAGTTCACAAATAAAATATACAAAATCTTAAAACTGTTATTGCATTCTTATAATTAATATTCTGAAGTAAATATAAAAATACTAAAACAATAACTGGAACATGAATTTACAATAGATTTAAATGCCGTTGGATGCTAGTGTTCTTTAAATGAGCACATGGTGTAGAGTCTGCACTGTGTATAGTTTTGAAAAGGTTTATTAATAGGCTTGCATCTAGTGATCAACACAAGAATAGTGTTTAACTTTTCAAGAATTCACACACATTGGGTTCACTGTCTCCAGTGTTTTCTGTTGACTGTGGATTCTCTGAAGTGGCTTCTATCACCATTAACTGGTTCTGATGAGATTAGACTGCCATCTAAAACCTGTTATTACAAAAAAGACACATTTAATTTAATGCTTTTCACAGTCACATCCATCAAACTGTATAAAAATACAACCCAATATAATACAATCCAAATTTACACCTGTACTTACTTACTGCACACATACACTTACTGCTCATTAAGTCACATAATAGTTACGTTAGTTACTCACCGCAGTGTCTCCAGTTTATAATCAGCATTATTCCTTATATCAGACAGCAGCTTCACTCCGGAGTCTGTCAGTTTATTTTTAGTCAGATCCAGTTCTCTCAGGTGTGAGGGGTTTGATCTCAGAGCTGAAGCCAGAGCAGCACAGCCATGATATGTGACACTGCAATCACTGAACCTGCAGAGAACAATGACACACTCCTCAGTTTCAATATGTAGAAAGCCATTTACTGAAATCTCAGTTTGGTATGAAAATAACTGATATTCCTCCAATCACATTTATATTAACGGTAAAATAAGTTAAAAGAGAGAAAAATAATAAGCTTGATCATTTTTATTAATCTTAAATTATTAATTATAATAATCACTTCTTTTTGCCTTCTTACTGCACCTTTTCAGGTCTTTTTCATCTTACCACAATGTCTCCAGTTTACAGTGAGGATTCTCCAATCCACCAGAGAGCAACTTTACTCCCGGGTCTCTTAGTTTATTCCATGAGAGGTTCAGTTCTCTCAGCTGTGAGGGGTTTGATTT